GTGGTGCTGGGGGATTGAACCGTGGTCCCTGTGCTTTGCTAAGCTTGTTCTAAGTAGGTGCTTTAGACCACTGAGCCATCTCACCAGCCCCTAATTTAAATTCTTTCCCTTAATATATTTGTGTAGTTTTATTTATTTTTCATTTCATTTATTTTTGGTGCTGGGAATCAAACTCAGGACCTTGCACTTGCCAGGCAGGTACTGTGTCACTAAGCTATAAACTCTGCCCATTTATTGATTTTATTGCTGTATAGTTCAGGCAGGCTTTGAACTCACTGTGTAGCTCAGGCTGGCCTCAAACTCATGGTGATCTTCCTGTCTCGGTCTCCCTAGTGCTGGGATTATAGGTTTGCACCGATATGCCTGTTTGTATAATTTTAAAGGAACATAGAGCAAAAACACCAAAAATCAATAAATCTGAGCAGCTGAAATATGATTAGTGGTTATTGATTTCTTTATATTTTTAGGTATTTTTGTAGATACGTTTGTAGCCATCCTCAAAACAAGCTTCTTAGTTTTAACTGGCAGTGGTTATTAGCTGCCCTTTTTCTGCTCTTTACTTTCCTAGAAAATGTGGACACAGACTTGCAAGGCAGCCTGGGGCCGAGCGAAGAGAAGCCCGTGCCCGCCGCGCCCGTGCCCAGCCCCGTGGCCCCGGCGCCCGTGCCCTCCCGGAGAAATCCCCCCGGTGGCAAGTCCAGCCTGGTCTTGGGTTAACTCCCCGTCCTGAACTCTGTCGTTTTGTTTGTTTGTTTTCTCCATGCTTGTGAACTGCACAACTTGAGCCTGACTGTACATCTTTTGGATTTGTTTCATTAAAAAAGAAGCACTTTATGTACTGCTGTCTTTTTTTTTTCCTTCCCCTTTCTTTTTGAAAAAACAGGTTTCGTTCTCTGTCCGATTCCTGGGTCTGTGGGCCATGGCATGAGTGTTTTTCTAGTAGTAGATTGGAGAGAAGGCTTTGTGATGCTTAGTACCGTGTTTATACGAACAAATGATTGGTCCCGATGTGTTAGAGGCTCGTTTGTACTGAGGTTTCCCGCGAGTGATCGCCCAGAGCTCCAGGCTGGCTGTCTGCAGCGCTGCTCGCTGTTGTCCTGCCCTCCCACGCCCTTGGCTAAGTGCTACGTGTTTCTCCTGTGCCATCCGGCACCGAAGGGGGCCTCGCTGCCCGCTGAGGGAAGCTGCTGCCCTTTTCACCTTCCGAGGTCGGCAGGCTGAAGAGCAGAGCCTGCTGCCCAGAAGCAGCCAGAGGCCTCGGATGTTACAGGCACCACCTGCCGTGAAACCTGCGAAGCAAGGGTGGCCGCGCAGAGGTGCTTCCCGGCCAGGAGCAGACCCCACAGGGCCGCTGTTCTTGCTCAGTAACTTGACGCCGTGTGCATGATGCTGGTGCTTGACCATGAAATGAAAGTCTCATCCTTAAAATGTGTGTTGTACTTCACAACCTGGACTGTTGCTTCAAGTAAACTATCCGCATTTTGAAATGCTGTGTGCTGTGTCATCTTTTTGACATTGCTTCAGTATTTTCCCCCTCTGGCTCTTTGTTATTATTAATTCCTCCGCTTGATAAGTCACTTCCCCAGAGGGAAGTGGGTTTTTCTGCAAAAAGTCTCTATTACCACCTGCACTTTGAAGGCTGGGGAGATAGCTCAGTAGAATAAGTGCTTGCCTGGCAAGCACAAGGTTCTGAGTTCAGTCCCCAGCACTGCAAAAACAAACAAAACATCCCTGGCAAGCGCAAGGGTCTGAGTTCAATCCCCGGTTCCGCAAAGAAAAAAAAAGCACCTGCACTTTATGCTGAGGGCAGCCGTATTTATAAGTTTATGCCTTGGGCAGGGGGTGCAGCTCAGTAGTAGCACATGTGGTTAGCATGTGGGAAGCTCATTTCCCCCCGGAACCAAAAATGAGTTTATCTCCATACACGTGAGGTCCTTCTCATTGTAGGTGTTCAAAGAGGAGGGCTACACGGATGTCTGTAAAATGATGAATGAATAAAGAAGATATAGTTCTTAAGGATAAACTTGGGACATCTCTAGGTGAATGAGAACACACCCTTAAGTGAAATAAACTGGATATGTGTAAATACTGCGTCGTTTCTCTGGTGTGAGAAACAAAGTATTGATGAAAATGTATAGTAGATATTATGAAATGGAAAATATTTGATTGGGAGGGGGAGGTACAGAGGGACAGGGAAGGAAAGGGAAAAGAAAATGAGAAGGGAAAGATAGGAACAGCTTTTGTAAGTGAGGGGAAGAGGTTGAAGGAACAGTAGAGGAATGGAGATAATAATAATACATGTCTCTTTTGGTTTTTTTTTTTTTGGCGGAACCAGGGATTGAACTCAGGCCCTTGCACTTGCCAGGGAAGTGCTTATTCCACTGAGCCGTCTCCCCGGCCCCTATAATACATGTCTTGTACAGGTACAGATTCCCTAGGATGAATGTGATCATTATGTATATCTGTAATGTACCTTCATTAAATGTAACATTAAATGGTACATGTTAATGTAACTTCATTAAAAACAGAGGAGGGTACAAAGGAAGGAAAGACAGGGGCTGGAGAGATGGCTCAGTGGTCTAAAGCACGTACTTGAAACAAGCTTGGCAAAGCACAGGGACCGCGGTTCGATCCCCAGCACCACATGCCAGCCAG